CAAGGAGGAAGCAACGACCGATCGACAGAAAGTTTAGTTCTTGGTACGTTGTACACGATCCAGGGTATGTGACCGGCTCAATTCTAAAGCTTGTTGTATTGTGCTTCTCTGTATAGTCCCTGCGGGGCTTGGTGCCAGCATGCAAATTTGATTTAGCGACGGTGTCTCCGACCCCGGTCGGATGCCTCTCTCCGGCTGCGAGCTAGCAATTAATTTGAGAATTAGTAGCTGATATAATTATCTTTATTAAAGGATCTCCCAGAGGCGATGGCCTCAGTGACTGTACTGCTCGCCCGTCGCGCCAAGACGCTTGGCAGTCACTAGGCTTCATGCCACCGATGTTGTCCGCAAGCTACCTTGTTATCTGCCCATCACCCACTGCCGCTGACACGCTGGGAGGCCCCGCGGCATTCGCCCAGTATATCGTCGTCAGAGCTGTGTCGACGGTACAATAACGCTGGTAGAAACAAACAGTTGGTCGTATGGTATTGCGTCCTCCGGATTGTCCCTTGACTCGTCTTGTCCCTCTTCTTGCTCTGACGCTAACGGCGCACGTATCATTCTAAAAGTACCAGTATAGTCAAATATACGGTTAAAAAAGAGTCCGCAGGATTGCCGTGGCGTAGACTAGTAGGTTATAACCGACCTTTAGCTTAGCAGTTAACCGTTAGGGGTAAAACCGTGACCGTTTGAGCCCTAGTATATTATAGTAATACCGTACCCATATCCGGCCTGCTCCGCAGTCGGGATGATATTCGGGAGGTATCACCCTCTGACTCGGGTACTAGTAAGGGGCCGTCCGTAAATATCGAACTTTTTTCACCAAACAAATTACCGGTATTTTAGTTTAGACCCAAACCCTCCCTCCCTCCCCCTCAGAACGTAAAAAATATTGACATACATGCATATACAACGGCCATGTACATGGATCAATGTTTTCTGAAACGAAATGGGTCAACCCCCGGCCCCTCCCATAACGAAATTATTTCGTTTTGTGAAAAAAGTTCGATATTTATGGACGACCCCTAATGTCCTCTACGTATCAGTAGATGGACTATAGTCTATAGTCGACTACCACTAGTCATGATTGTTATGTAGATCAGTCTACAATGCATGCTGCGCCAATGCACCTGATGAAGCACTCGATCTACTCATCTGCCTGTGCCTGTGCCTGTTTTGGGTGTGTGTGCGGACTGGGTGGTGTGAGGTCAGACTTCGGTTGGGTTTAGCATTCCGATGTAGACCTACGGAGTAGATGCAGTATTAACCCTTTGCGTGCTGAGTAGATCTACGAGTTAACTCGCACTTCATGCATGACCTGATCCACTACGTACGAGTTAAGGTGGCTCCTACCCCTCGGGTCCAATTTTTTTTTGTTTGAAACGTGGCTACAAACGATTGTACTTTGTTCCGTTGGATATCTAGTGTACGGAGACAAATTTGTATCAAGTTCTACCGGCCGGTTTCACTCGGGGGAGGGGCCAAACATAGCATACTCACAATTGCCAACTTAGGCCAAAAAATACCGGAAAACCACTTTATTGGCCGTAGCACTGGTAGTTACCCCATTTTTCTTGATGTCCAACATCAGGACAGTAGTATACTTGCTAAATATCAGCATAAGCTGTAGAAGTGGTTAGAATTCTGCGAGAAGGTGACCTTTTTTCTCTTTTCGGAATCATCCCATTTCAGCGCACACGTCCCACATATTAGCCCCGCCCACAAGTATTTGACACTGGACTTGCCCTGTATTCGATGGTTATGCTATCATAACCTAATAATGGTACTGTGTAACAAGTTTGAGCAGGTTCTACCGAAGGTAACTCGTGAAATAAAACTTTGAAGTTTCAAGTTATGCCATATTTCAAGAATCAGCACATTGCACTGGGACATTGTCCAACGCCTTAGAACCCCTGACTCCACCATATGACAGATACGTGTCTTACAATAATTGATTGAAATATCTTTCGAACATAGTAGTAGAGCTCTGGATCAAGTTTTGGCAGTTTCCACCGAAGCTAACTACCAAAATAGTACTTTGAAGTCGCCCACATACTAAATGCCATAGCTGAGCATGTGCATTGAGTGTATGGTCTAAAGGTTTTCACAACTAGCTCCAATGCGGCAGATACGTGTCTTACATTACTTGATTGCAACATCTTCAGAACATAGTAGTAGAGCTTTGGATCAAGTTTAGACAGTTTCTACCGAAGAAAACTACCAAAATAGAACTTTGAAGTCGCCCACATACTAAATGCCATACATGTAGCTGAGCATGTCTATTGAGTGTACATGTATGCTCTAGTGTTTTTCACAACTTTCTCCAACATGAAGCCGATAGTGATGTGGAATTTGTTGACTGCTTTGTCCAAAACATAGTGCTAAAGCAATGCACATTGGGCACTTTCTACTGGTAATGTAATTATTATATTATACAGTGTTTGCTCACAACTTTGCTGCCAACATAGCAAGACATACTTCTATACTAAATGCGTATTCCACGGGGTACGGTCCAATGGCTTTTCACTTCACATCTAGCCACTGTTCTTCGTGCATTACTTGAATGCTTAGCCGGTCTCCGTGGTAATGAAGCTAAGAGCCACACTGGAGAAGTTTCTACTGAAGCTAACTATCAAAAATATAAAATTTCCAAGATGCTACTACAGTCAACTTCGCTTATAACGACATTCGGCGGGCATCAAAAAATTGTCCTTATTCGCGAAGTGTCGTTATATCCGAAGTCTTATTATATATATTACAGTTGGAAGGGACTTTGCTCTGGGCATGGAAATGCTGTCGTTATTCGCGAATTGTCGTTATATCCGAAGTCGTTATTAGCGAAGTTGACTGTATTACATCAAGTAGCTGCGTGCAATGCCACTCTGTTGAACACAGTAAGCAAAATCGAGTCACTAAAACCCTATTTGCCAGATACAAGCTGTTGAGACTGATAGCAGCTGTATGATCTGATATGGATGGCGGTTCCACACTGACCAGCACATGTACACGCGCACAGGCAGAAGAACACACAAGTAATACACCTAACGTTACTTCGAAGTACACTGTGTACATCATGTAAATACAAGCGTATATACAAGCATAACTCCTGTTCTCCACAACTGGCAGTCCTGGGCCACTCCAGCTGGTCAGAGTGCAATAATTTCTGCAGCAGGCTTGACTTGGAAAGCTACTCACAACTGCCATGGCTGCAACATAAGACTTAGTATTACCAGCGCTTTTACAGTGCTACTTGTATTATATTATTGTCAATCCATTGTGGTGCGGCATGGCACTCGTTTTCAACAACCGAGTTTATGTCATTAGTTGCATATCCAACACCAGCAGAAAAAAAGAGGGGGTGGGGGCAAATTACCACAGTTCAACACTAGTCATACTGAACGGCGTTATGCCATGCCAGGCGCGCACACAAAACGCCCGCGCGAGCGCGCATGCATGTACACACCCGGGTGACACACATTGATGCGACTTTACATAGCCTGCACTGTCGTTCTATGTCATAGGAGTGAGTGCACACACATATTATATGTACATGTAGATTGCCTAATTTTGCATACGTAATAAAATTGTATAATTATGTATACACACATGTGCGTGCACATATAGATAAACTCAACGGCATACGCATGAGTGTGTGCCAGTAGGGCCACACGCCAATTATCGGATTAGTCTGTGAAAGTTGCACGGCACGACAAACTTTCGGACAGTCTAAAGATATGACACAATGAATGTGGAATACCCTCCAGTGTGTAAGACCATTTCATATCTATTTCGCAGCGTTTGTGATTTTCGGAGCGTCCCTGTTGATATTTGATGTCCTCACTTGGTTGATGACACAGTCACAAATTATCAAATTCACCTCCAATGCCATCCAAGCATCCAAAACTCCCAAGCAGAGGATACAATTCTCGCAACAGCGTATTGAAGTACGAATTGTTCTAAACAATTTTCAAGACACAATTACAAAAATTGAAGTGCGTCTTGAAACGTGTTTGAAGTGCTTCGATGTATTTACCTTCGATCTCCCTGAATCGATCCATCCACAGCTACCTGACGAATTTGCTAGTCAGTGCGGGAGATGATCGAGCAAGTTATAATATTTGAAGGTCGCGAGATGTCAGTGGCACTGGCAGGAAATCTACACAAGCGTGTTCTGAAATAATTTTCTAATACTCAGGCATGATTCAAGAGCGGACTTTGATTTCTCCCTTCTTATGGTACGAGCCACCAGTCGACATTGCATTCTTGGAAAATCTTCTGCGAGTGCTGCCTACTTCCCCTTTCAAAGAAAGAACGAGTGAAGAGGGACACTAGCAGCAGGTTCTAGCTAGGTCGCCAGAATTGCAGAAAAGCGAGAAGACGTTTCCTACAACGATTGATCGCACAAAAATCATCGCTACCGAAAAATTTACTGAAAATCTACACTTTTCAAACGATGCGCGCGCAGAGGGTGTGAGCCACCTTAACTCGCAAAAAGTTCGCGCGCTGTATCGCAGTGCATAGACCAGTGTACAAACTTTCGTAACTAATTACTTCGTCAAACATTAACACATCGCGACAATCAATACACCGTTGGAAAGATCATCACCTCATCTTTCCGGGGATATAAAGTTCTTCGCGATAGGATAAGAATTCATTGAGCGGCGACAAGATGAACACGGAAATCACGGCCCAGAGTGAACGCGCGCTGTATCGCAGTGCATAGACCAGTGTACAAACTTTCGTAACTTCGTCAAACATAAACGCATCGCGACAATCAATACACCGTTGGAAAGATCTTCACCTCATCTTTCCGGGGGTATAAAGTTCTTCGCGATAGGATAAGAATTCATTGAGCGGCGACAAGATGAACACGGAAATCACGGCCCAGACTCCAGAGTGAACGCGAATTTTTTTGTTCATAACTTCTTTTTGTTGCAGAGCTTGCCAGGGGATTTCCCTTTTGGCACGGCGCATGCGTAATGGACATCAAATGAAGCGCTTGGATCTGAGCTTTGCAGCGCAGTTTGAATTGTGAAAATCTGTTGAATTTGGGCAAGAAGCCGAACAAGAATGTGAAATTGAGTTGTTGTGCCGTTCCGAGGCACGGTGGAGTAATTCGGAGAGGACCTGGATGTGGCCCTGATGTGTCTATGGAGCTGAGAGCTGCCAGGATGGATTCGCTTGGTCCTGATCTTTCCAACGAGCCCAGGACGATGAAAATCCATCAAGGTTGAGTAAAATCAGAATAAATTTCGTTCGGAGCTGTGAGTGCATACTCCACCAAGAGAGTCAGTGCGCTGGACGGCCAGTGGATTGGAGAAAAGGGGCTCAGCATGCAAAGGGTTAATAGTAGGACAGCTCGTGTGCACTGGTGTGGATTTGAACATGTTCTTGTCGTTGGCTGCAACGGACTCAGTCAACAGTCGACTTGTCTTGCAAAACTCTTTGACGAACAGTCTCAGTCAAACCCGTGCCAGCGGCTGGCTTCGACGAGACAAGAGCTGCTGATCGGTAGGATCGACGACGACCGTGAACAACTGTGTTTCACAGAGTGAGAAAGAGAGTTCAATTGACCGGCGTCAGGGTCACCGCTGCAAGAGCTGTGTATGAAGATTGAAGTACAGTGTGCAAGAAGTCCGACATTTGCACTTGCTCATCGAACGACGTAGATCTTCGGGAAATCGACACTGATGCTGACTTCCGTGCTAAAATCTCGATGAGAAAAGCCGTAGATTGAACGTCCAGCGGAGACGATTGAGTAGTGGCTGGATAGCTTTCTGGGCGAGATAAGACACTCGTCTATTAGATTCAACCTCTCTCGGAAACAGCGCCACGATACGAGCCTTTGCATCTGTGGGTATCAACGTCGCTACACTCATCATTGTATGGGCGAGAAGCCCACATGCTTCAAGTATTCCCATCTGTATGAAGCGGCGGTCGCCGTTTCTGCTATTTGACGACCTTGTTGGCTACCCACTCTGGATAGCTGAGCGGACAACAACGCGATCCGAATCGTGACGACGAAAGCGTTCATTGCTTCTCGATTTTAGGAATACCATTGGCCCATTGGGTGAGTTGCATTTGGGCATAACCAGATCGTTAGGTCATGGGCGGCGTGATCTTGGTGATTACTGGTAGTCCATCGGCCAAATCTCAGAAAAGGCCTCTTTCGGAGAAGGTGATGCACTGAAGCTCCAAGTAAACGCCCTTTGGCACACTAGCTCATGAGACCCCATACTAAAATACGAATCCGATTGTTGGACGTTGCCAATCCAGTCCAGAATAGTCGAACTGGGTCGAATACCTTCTTCCGATTTTCGTAATTTCGTCCACCATTACATCTTTCTCATCGACTTTTTTTCGCTTGGCGAATGTTCTTGAGCCGCTGAGCAGAATCTACGCACGCTCGAACACTTGAAATGCCAGCATGTTGACGGTTCGCAAGATTCTAGCGAGCTTGGTGGAAATCTATTACTTATTTGGACATTTTTGGGGGAATCTGGATTAGAACGGTAGAAGCTCATTCGGAGAAGACGGCGTGTCGCCGCTGTCGGATTGTCGCTACTGTGTTTCAGACGCATTTGCTTGAACGTACTATTGAGGATGGACAGAAGATGAAGTGACGGCTTTCTTGAACACGGACGTTTTGTCTACATTGTAGCTGAAACATCTCATCTGGCGTCTAGAACGCAATTATTATGAGTTGTGAGTGCCAGCTGAGCTGAACACAAGCTGGACACCATTCGTCAGCTGGGAATTTGTATCGAAGCTCTTGATAGCCACGATACGCATAATTATACAGAGGTATCCTTGTTTAACTTAAAGGGGAAGTTAAGGCAAAAATTAAAATTTCACCAGTTGTAGTCTTCGGGGTGCTGAGTCGAATGGTCTTGGTCCGAGAAAGCTGAGACGCTCCCTTCCTACTTGAATCCCAATCGAACTCGCGCACTTCCACCGAAACTGGGTGACTGCGCCCTTCTAGATGGGGATTTGTATGCAAAATGTCACTAAAAGCGCCATTTCGTTCTTATAAAAGCACGGATGACCGCGATTGGCCCATATGTTGTAGTCTTTTGGATGCTGAGTCGACTGGTTTTGGTCCGAAAAGGCTGCGATGCAGCGTTCCTCCTTTATTCCCAATCGAACATGGTTGAAGAAGCGGTCACGTGCTCCTGGGTGCCCAAATCACCTGGTCACCACGCCAGGCGTCGCCAGCAGGCGACAACTTTCACACCAAGGTTCAACTCGAGTTCAACTCGAGTGACAGGACTGCACCCAAAAAAGGTCAAACAGGCTAGTAAGTTGTCTACTCTTCTGCTTCCCTGTATGTCCTTGCAAATGCTTGCCCACTGTCGACCCACCGTCAAAAATTAATTTGCACTTTTGCTCACAAATTTAACCTAGCTCTACATCCTCCTCATCTTAACGTGTATAAAAATAAATAAATTTCACGGTTCGCGTGAGACTCGGCTGGAAGCCGAGTTTTCCGCATCCGCCGTGGGAACGCCACCACCCTCTAGGATCAAAGGCGCAGATAACGTGTATAACTGGTTCCGAATCACAGATGGCTCCCAGACAAGATGCTCTGTTGCCCTCCCCTTGGCTAAAATGTCCTCCCTTGTACGCTCTCCACTCTTTGTTGCTTACTCTGCTTGGCTTGCGCTGCCCGCTACTACGCGCAATGCCAGTACCCTGGACGCATTTAAATCTGCTCACTAGATTCACCATCACCTGTCCCTCCCATGCTTCTCCGTCTTGACCATTACTTTTATTCTTTTATTCACCATGGTTGGTTAACACCCACATCTCCCGTACTGGCTGATTTTCTTCTCATGCCATGAGGTGTTGTCTATAATAATAATAATAATAATGATACCCTGCAGGCACGGTGACCAGGTGACTGGTGTACGCAGGAGCACGTGACCGCTTGTTCAACCATGTTCGATTGGGAATAAAGGAGGAACGCTGCATCGCAGCCGTTTCGGACCAAAACCAATCGACTCAGCGTCCAAAAGACTACAACATATGGGCCAATGGCGGTCATCCATGCTTTTATAAGAACGAAATGGCGCTTTTAGTGACATTTTGCATACAAATCCCCATCTAGTAGGGCGCAGTCACCCAGTTTCGGTGGAGGTGCGCGAGTTCGATTGGGATTCAAGTAGGAAGGGAGCGTCTCAGCTTTCTCGGACCAAGACCATTCGACTCAGCACCCCGAAGACTACAACTGTTGAAATTTTAATTTTTGCCTTAACTTCCCCTTTAATACGCATGCAGGTGATACCACTAGTGGCTCTACAATGTAAATGATGCAAAATTGATGCAACAGCGAATGTGTACTTCGTACAATCACGAACAATTGTAAGGCAAGTGTTCATGCCTGTCATAGAAGAATTTCAGCCCGGAATACTTGTTGTCATGGTCATAAATAATACAGGACTTGAGTTGGTTCTGGACATAAACACATTTGTGGTGAATACGGTCATTGTTGCGAGAAAAAATATTTAGCCATTGTATGTTAACACCTGATGCCGCACTACAAGCAGTATTTCATGTACATGTATGTGAGACTCAATTGCGTCCACAAGGCCGTAGATGCATGTAAGCACACAATGCTGTACAGTATAAGTAGTAGTCGACATGTGGTGCCTTCCTGCTGCACATGTAAATGCACATGCGGCAAGTTGGCAACGACGCATGACCTATCTGCACCGCACAGCGTGAGCTTAGAAAGGAATATTGCACACATAGTCCACCGAAACTGGGTGACTGCGCCCTACTAGATAGGGATTTGTATGGAAAAAGTCACTAAAAACGCCGTTTCGTTCTTATAAAAGCGCGGATGACCGCGATTGGTCCATATGTTGTAGTCTTTTGGCCGCTGAGTCGACTGGTTTTGGTCCGAAAAGGCTGCGATGCAGCATTCGGCCCTTATTCCCAATCGAACACGATTAAAAGTAAGCGGTCACGTGCTCATTTACAGCCTGCTTAGGCCCGTTTATGTCACTCGAGTTGAACCTTTGAACCAGGGAGTCGTAAACGCCTCTTACGACTCCCTGCTTTGAACCTTTGTGTAGAATGATGTGAAAGTAACTGTGCAGGCACGGTGACCAGGCGACTGGTGTTAGGCCTTGACGGATTATGCTAATGTTTTCGTGAAATTATGCTTTTCGCATTGCTGAAAAAATTGCAGAATTATGCTATTTTTATGCTAAAAGTTATCATATTATGCCGCATTATGCTCACATATGCTGCTAATGTATATGATGGTTCTGTGCAAAATAACAGGGGATTTTTTTATAGGGCATTGTACTGTAGTAGCAAAAGTTCAACGGGGTCAACGCACCGTCCGACCTACAATTGTAGCTACGACCATCACTGATTGTAATGGACTGAACATGGTATCAAGGGAGTCGTAAACCTACGACTTCCTGGTGTATCCACTTGTACTTGTAGAACATGTACAACTCTATGGAATTTGGTGCGAACAGGCGGATTATTCCATTATTTATGCAATTCGTATGCGATTTGCCTTGAATTAGGCGATTATTCGATTTTGGTAGGAATTATGCGAAAAATTATGCTAGCATAATCCGTCAAGGCCTAACTGGTGTACGCCTGAGCAAGTGACCGCTCACTCAACCGTGTTCGATTGGGAATAAGGGCCGAACGCTGCATTGCAGCCTTTTCGGACCAAAACCAGTCGACTCAGTGGCCACAAGACTACAACATATGGACCAATCGCGGTCCTCAGTGCTTTTATAAGAACGAAACGGCGTTTTTAGTGACTTTTTCCATACAAATCCCTATCTAGTAGGGCGCAGTCACCCAGTTTTGGTGGAAGTGCGCGAGTTCGATTGGGAATAAAGGAGGAAGGGAGCGTCTCAGCGTCCTCGGAGGCTCGGACCAAGACCATTCGACTCAGCACCCCGAAGACTACAACTGGTGAAAATTTGATTTTAGGGTATACTTCCCTTAACCTTAATGATTCATGCATGGTGGAAAATTACCACCAATGGCGATGATATTGCTTTCACAACAATGACATCAGTAGGAGCAGTGACACAACCTTACTGCTCCAAGTAGGATTTACAAGCGAGTGAAGGGAGAGCAGACTGGTGTAATAGCAGACCGGGTCTAAGCAAGGAAGTAATCGGCATCAGAGGTGAGCTTGCACATCAGAAAACAGATGATGATCACCAAACACAGAGACGTTGGCTATGTGTATGTTTGTGTCACTGTGTGCGCGTGTGCGTGTGTCTGCATGTGTGTTTGTGTGTATGCGCGCACATCTGTGTGTGAGAGAGAGGCAAACAGACAGCTGGCATGTGGTGGGAGGAATCAAGGTCTGACCTCAGAGTTAGATGTTGACGGTGTGGAATAGCAACAGTGCGAAATCGGGCAGGGTGGTCAATGGCCCACACTGGAGCCGAGTAGGAGCGCCAGTGGTTGAGGGCTAGCACAGGAGTAGCAGCAGCTCCAGCCTAGGAAGATCAGCTTCTGGATGAAAATCTCCCGGACACAGTAGGTACCAAGCTTCACTAGCAGATTGCTGGCAGGGACGCACGGCGAGCACCCGTACACCCCTCAAGCCACCAGAGCCGCAGTACTTGGACACGATCCAGGTGCTTACCCGCCAACAATGCTGAGAAGGCACTGGTGTAACAGTTCCCTGTTAGCGCTAACCTTATCTGCCCTCTAGCTCTGTATCTTGCACCTTTCCCTATCCTGTCAGCACTCGCGTTATCACCTTAGGGCATGAAGTGCCCTATATCAGTTGTGTTGCCTTGAGCAAGCATTGTCTTTTCCAAGAATACCTTCAAACGGTTACACTGGTAGCAGAGGATGGTTAGCATGGTGTTCTTGGAGCTCGCCATTGTCGTGGCGATCCTTGTTCTTTCTGTGTTGCTATTCAGGTTGGCCAGCGAGGTCCGTGAAGCCAGTCGCCAAGTCAGCGCCCGTCTGAGCAACCGACAACAACCGCTCCCTATGCCGCCCGCTCATTCGTCCGGGAAGCCTCGACACGCTAAGGAGCCGCCGATCTTCGATGGCAAGCCCTCGCAGTTCAAG